GGGGCGGGGGGGGGTGCGGCAGCGCAAGGGGTCCTCTGACTGTCCTAATCCTCTACCAGATCTCAGAGATGAAGGACCAGCCACTTTCCCAGGAATCTGCAGCTCCTACCCTCCCACAAGGTATTTTTCTACTACTTGGGTATTAAATGATTAGCGTTAGCATAATCAATCTTGTTTAAGTGTCCGAGTTTGCAGGGAATGTTTGGAAATTGGGTAAGAGGGTACAGCTGTTTCTAGGAGAGCCAATTTTCAAAACAGAGCCAGGAATAAAACTAACCTCTTCCACATGAAGAAATCCAAAAGCTCAAATTCAAAACAACTTTTAAGAAAACCATGATTTCCAGACCATCTCCCCCAAAACACAATAACCCCAAATCTAGGGATTCCTAAATATAATGGGAAGGAAATCACCGATTTTGGTTTAGAATAAATTTTAAGTGCATAATGGTTATTACAGCCTGCAGATTTCAAGAAATAAGTAGTGAACAAAATCTGATACTGCCTTTCTAATTTATTTACAGTGAACAGCAACAGGAAAGTGTCTTTTGTACTTCTGAACACTCTGTGCCTAACTGTTGAATCTAGGCAGTATTTGAAAACCATGCCTGTTACCATGAATCTGGTAAGAGCTCGAGAGAGAGCTTCCTTCAGAGAACAGGTACATTTCTCTCTTGTAACGAACAGGTAAACTGAGAAGAGGGATGAATGTTTTCATGCAGCCCCACAAACGGCCCAGACCTCAGATTCAGCAGGAATTCAGCAAAGACGGACTAGAGGGAAGACGAACGCAAAGGCAAAACTGCCTTGTCCTGCACTATTTCCCCCCGTTAGTGTCCCGAACATGGCCGTTCTTTAACAGACGTCTATAGCCGCCTTAAATGATCAGATCAACAGGAAACGGAGCTACGATGGGGTGAGGAGGACACAATACGACTGCCCCCTCTGATCGCGGCTGACGAAAGTTTAAGGTAACCCAGGCAAAGTTCACTTTTAAAAAACCTTCAAATGTGTGCAGAAGTATGTAATCTGGAGGGCATGTCAGGATTTCGTCACATTCCAAAATATTGCAGAAGGAAAGAATTGCATTACATAGCTCAGCCAGGCCCCCCACCACCCCCAAACCACAAAGGGGAGGTTTCCCTAAAGGTACAAGATTGCAGGCTCTGATGCTTCCAGAAAATGCGGAGGCGGCAGCCTGTTGTGACAATACAAAGATCATAATATCTGTATCATCAGAGTCGGGAATTTACTCTTTCAAAGGGACTCCCTTTCCCATAAGCCATCAAGAATGGAGGTTTATCCAGGCTGCAAAGCAGCGGGACTGCTATGAAGTAACCCAAGTAATTTGAGTAAACAAAGGTCCGGGACCTTTCAGGAATCTGGAAACAGGAGACTATGCTGGGTGGGAAATTTGTGGCAACACAACGGATACATTTGCAGTGCCAGCCTGCACTCTACCCACCACAAATCTTGACAGTTTACACAATCATACACTGAACTAGAAAGTTGCACGGAAGCCGAAAGGAAAACCCCAGACATACATCTGTCATTCCTTCGTGCTCATCTAGAGGACTACTACCACTTTGTGTTTTGAACATGGCAGAGGATTTAATTTATGATTTCGAAAACATAAGGACTCTTCTAGTCTGTAGTATACTTTATTCCTTCTTCCCCGGAGTATCGGACCTAAGAGCTGACGGAGGGCTGCAAATGTTTCTGTTTGGCCATTTGACAATGAAAAAAAAAAAGTAATACTAAAGACAAGTAAGGAATCACGTCTAAATTCAAGAGACTGCCCTTACAGCTTACGGCAAAGGGTCTGACCCAAGAGCTGGACAGAGGATGAAGTCCTCTAAGCCGCAGATTGGTGCTGCTTCCTCCTAATCACTAACAGCACAATGGGCTGTCATCAACCTCTTACTCAGGTTTCCAAAACACATTTTATATTAAGTTTACAAAATACAAACACCACAAGCAAGACAGGAGCCCTAAAAGGCCGGCAAGCATCTAAATTTGGAGATTGAAAATAAATACAACTAAAGGCAGAGCAACAGAAAGTTAGCATTAAATATGAAACCAAAATACACAGTTTACACAAGGCCTGCTACTGGAAAAGCCTTATTGCTCAAAAATGTCTCAAGCTTCCAAAGTATGCTCCTCAGACGAGGGAGGGAATGTCATTTTTCCTTCTCTTTCTTCCAGTGGAGCCCACCCTGGTGGGCAAAGGGGAAAAACAGTATTTGTTAGAAGAAATCCCAAATCCCACCGCCCTCTTCCCAGATTCCAGCTCACTAGCACTTGGGGAGCGGGGTCTGCGGTGCCAGAGAACTATCAGGATTCTGACGAAAGTCAAGCTCTCTCTCCTCCCTATCTTTTTTTTAACCCTTTCCCCACCTCCCCCCCCAAACTGCTATGTAAAGTACAGTGAAAGGGCACAGCTTGAGTTGACCATTTATGTTTGTTTTGTTTTTCCTTCTCACCGTCTGAATTAAAAGAAAAAAGCACAAAGGCTTAATGGTCAAGACGAGAAGCAAGGACACAGACACACACACAGACACACACACCCCTCACTACTCACCCAGCAATTCAAATTGAGGTGCCAACCGCCCAACTGCTGGAAGAGAGTGAGTCCCGAGGCCACCGTGCCTCCCTTCCCACTCAAATCTTCCATTCCCACTAAGATGGCATCCCTAGGGTACATAATAGCTTTGGTTTTCTTTCTCTTCTCCTCAAATAAAAAAAAAAAACTTTCTCTGTACCTTCAAGATGGGACTGGGCCAGCTTTTTTTCTCCTCCCTTATTGCTTTTCTCACTTTTCTTCGTCCTCCCAGCTTCCCCTCCCCTTTAGTCCTTTCACTTAAAGAGCTGGTGGGAAAAAAGCATCTTAAAAGACAGAGATGGCTCCAAATTTCTGCCCTGCTACGCTCAAAATGCCCCATGTTCTCCATCACACTGCCTGCAATCATTTTGTTAATCCTTTTCTTTCCACACACGTCCTTCAGAAACCAAAACCAAAGAAACAAAGACAAAATTAACAACAACAAAGAAGAAACCAAATCATCTAGTTTTGCTGGTTGCAGATTAAATTCTTTTAAAAAATTAATGAAAAGAAACTCCTTCTAGTTTCTACTCTGAACCACTAGGAAATCCGTGAAGGAAGAGGGAAGGCCCACTTTCCCCAGCCAGCTCAGGGCACCTACGCGGAGTCCCCCGGAGTCCCCCTCCCTCACCCGTTACCTGGGGCAGCAGGGACAGAGCTCCCGCTAAGAATAGCTAAGAAATTACGGTCAGCCATGAGGGAAAATGATCAACCAAATGAAGTAGGCAGGCACTTTATCTGCAAGATTGTCAAATCCCTCAAAACAAATTTCTTAGGGAGAGGGCTGCGATGGGTGAGGGGGAGGGAGGCAGAAAGTGTATTTTCTTGTCACAGTGACACTGAGTGACACTTGGTAGGGCCTTGCCTGCCACGTGTACACACACCTCTTTTCCTTCCAGAGTAAGAGACTGTGCCTGAAAGATTTTCAGCTGACCTCTGTGAAAGCAGAAGAAAGTAAGCCTCCTGTGTTCACTGGCATTCCGGTAGTCTGAACGCCAACTTGCTTTCTGACTGTGAGTTTTGTGACAGACAGAGAGGAGAGAAAAGGCAGTCTCTCTATCCCTGAATCCCACCAACCCGACATACTTTTCCCAGGGCTCTCATAGGATCCAGGGCCAGGTACATGTGTGTGGGTTTAACTTAATTAGAGTTGAGAGAGACAGACATCATAGGCCTGAAATCGTCCTCTTTCCCATGTAGGAGGGGAGCAAGGGAGGGTGTCTGTTCCAGGAGGAGTTAAAGACAGAAGAAAGTTGCAGAGGACAAAACTCACCAAGAATGCCTTTCCGCCTTTCTGGTCCTCCCCTGCTGCCCCACTGCCCCCAAGTGTTAAATCATTTCACCCTCTTCAAAAGCAAATACACAACTCGGATTTGTATGCAGGTAAGAAAACACCCCTGCCGCCATACGGGATCCTGGGCCTGTGTTGCATGAAGCAAGACCAGTGGCAAAGATTCCGTCTCTTCTGGCTCAGGACACCTAACATACAGGAGATGTTTCTAATTTACCGACCCGACTGCCCAGCTGTATATGTCCAAACCCATAGGGCTGTTTTCATGATGTTGGTCTTTAAGCAATCTGTGAATACACCAGACAAGTTAATAACCTTCATGCCCCCCACCAAAAAACCCCAAAACTCGGGGACTGGAAGGGCTTCAAGATAACAAAAAAGTGAGGATTCTTAATTTTCCTTTTCTTCTTTTTAAAAATACTGCTCTGTGGCCCTTCTTTCTGGACTTAATCGGCCTTCCTGTGTTCTAAGTGTCAGGCAGCAAGCTTTAAGGCCCTTAATACCAAAACAAAACCCTGCCATTTCCCTTTACATGGCGGTAACAAAAGCAATGAGGCTCCAGTTTGACAAGTAAAAAGCCCCAACCACACAGCCCCCTAATTGCCTTCCCTCCCTCTATTCACACGGACCACCACACTCGGCCAGCTGCCTTTGTCACACATGCAATTTCTTAAGTAAACTGCAAGTTCCCTCCTGGCTGATGGACAGCTCCCAATCACTCAGCAACAATAACTTAAAAAAGTGCAGCAAACAGGATGGGCAACTTTGACTGGGAATTTATTTTCTGGCTTTCTCAAAAGACAAGGAAAATGGAAACAGCAAGACGAGCCAACACATTCCAGACAGACCTCCTCCTCCTCCTCCTTAAAAAAAAGGACACGGAAATCTCCCCTGAATTTCTTCAAACTAACTCTTCCTAAGAAACTGCTCCCAGATAGCTGCTGTCCCATCGCTCAGTTCCGAGTCCCTCCCAGGGGCACCCCAATTTGTCAGAAGTACATCCACACTTAGAACGTTTCCATTAAAAAAAAATCCCACAAAATGATCGAAGGCTGCAAAGTTCCGTGGGATTTTTTTTAACTCCCCCCCCCAAAAAGAGACTTTGCTTTCCTTTAAGCATGAAATTGGCAATCAGTTGAAAGAGAAATGAGACCAGGGGGATGGCCGGTTTACATCCCACGGTCCTCATCCACATCCTCAACCAAGTTCTGTTTGGTGGTTTGAAATAAAGAAGTTTGAGATGGAGGTGAGAGGAAATGGGGTTTGGAAGAATACAGATGAAAAGGAGAAAAATGCAAACCCTTTAAGAAAATATTTGGGGGGAACCAGGGAGCAGAGGCGCCAGGAGGGTGGCACATTTACGTGAATTTAACTTGGTGGGGTGAAAAGAAAGAACCCCCCTTAAACACTCACATCCCGAGTTAAACACTAATAATAAAGCATGTTTTCAGAGTCACAGGCTAAAAGTTCAGAATGAAAAAGTCACGTCATTTTCCATTCTCGTTTTTTTTGTTTGTTTGTTTTAAAAGGGAGTTTTTTTTTAAATAACAAAAAGGTCAACTCCATCGGGCACCTTACCAGTCAAGAGACATCAATCTTAAAGTTACTGCGAAGTGACAGCGAACCCTGCAGAGGCTGAGAGCAGGAGCATGCAACGGCATTGGACCAGCCCGG